AAGGAAACGCTGTATCGCTGCTGTTCCATAAGCGCCACCTGCTGTCAGAGAGTGACTTTACGCTCTCATTCAGCTCGTCTGCCTTTTTTTTTTTCAAATTATGTTTTATGCAGTACATTTTCACAAAGCTGAAGTCAGACCATTCTGGTTTTGCTTTAGGTTTCAAAATTATACAATCTAATTTAAATCATTAACTGCTGAATGCTGCATGTAATATGCAGCATCATTGTTTGGACTGTGATTAAAATGCAGTTGTTGCCTCTAATTTTAAATTGAATTTTAGTTTGTTTATATGAAGAGATTTCTTTTATTTGTAATTATTTATTTGTGATTTGTTTTAAAAATTTTAATTACACAAAGAACATATAGCATTTTGGCTGAGAAATAATAAAAGAGCACCTTTTCATTTATAATTTGCCTTTTTTTTTTTATAAATAAAATCAAATATTTTTAAAAAGAAAAAAAAAGAAAAGAAATCGTGACAAAATCGTATAGTGAAATCAGTATCGTGAATTGCATCCTGAGTTGAGTGAATCGTTACATCCCTATTTAAAATGTATGCTAAAGTAAAACTTTCAACTTTTTTGACATTTTTACAATTACATTAACGTTACATTCCTCACAAAAAGCTACCATTTGGCTTCAGAAGACTTGGAATACTGTCCACAGGTCGTATGGACTACTTTTATGGTGCTTTTTGTCCTTTTTTGGAGCTTGACAGCCCCAGTCCCCATTCACTCTTATTCAGTTCAAATATCAAGATAAATACCTCGTTTTTTGTATTTTTCTGTTCCACTGAAGAATTAATGTTGGTTTGTGATTACATGATAGTGAGTAAATGATTGCAGAATTTTTTTTTTTGAATGAGCTATCACTTTCAGATTCAAGATTACGACTACTCTTCACACTTGGCTTTCTCAAATTAAAAACTCCTATACTGATTGAAAACGGATATTATAAATAATTTATTTGTTTATTTAATTATGAATTACTTACTCCTTCGGATTGTCTTCTCCCTTCTCTTCATCCTCTGACTCGGATGAAACCCCGTATCCCACAAGCGAATTCATATCGACTTTAATACAAGTTAATGAGAACTGTGACCCAAATCCTGTATGATTAAACTGATCAACTGTATGATTGGATATCGAAGGTTCAATTGTCATTGAATCGTTTGTTTATCCGGAAGTCAGTTTTTCTTCTTGGTCCCGAAACAGATCGTCGTGGAAATAAAAAGCAATTGAATGTGCCACCGCGAGGCGCGGAATGGTATTGCGACAATGTTATCAACATGAGTATCGTTTTTGTGAATTAAAATAAAGCAATAATAAAAATATAATTTAAATATTAAATAAAAAACTTAATCATAAAATACTAAAATAATAGTGAAAATTAGGAATGTTACTTTGGCAGCTAACTGAAATAAAATCATTTTTAAATCTTTTTTTTTTTTTACCACATTTTAAGTTGAAGTTCTAAAATTACTAAAACTAAACTGAAATTAAAAATAAAAAATAAAAAAAAGATCAAATTGACAAATGTGCACAACAAAATTACTATAATTAATATAAAATTCAATAATGTAAACGTTTTCATTACATTTTAATTACAATTAATATAAAAATAAAATTGAATTCAAAATATTGCAACAAATAATATATAAATAATACTAAAAAACACTGAGGGATAAGTCTTTTAAAACAAGCCTAACACACCGAGAGACATATGCATCATTTACATGGGCACTGGTGGGATATGTCCCCACCACTATTTTGTCCCCACCTCTTCATGGAATAGCTTTGTTAACAATAAGTGTTTCAATGAATGGCGATCCAGCACTGGAATTTATTTTTAATGTTTAAGATGAGTGTTCGTTGCATTCGTTATCAGTGACAGAAGGAATAGTGTATATCTTCTCTCATGCAAGTTCTGCAAACAGAGTCACGTTCTGATCTATCACTTTTCCACATGCAGCTGCGACAACTCTCTATATGCTTTCTAGTGAAACCACAAAATGCAAAGAAATGTTTCACATGATTTGACATACATCCACTGACACCTGAAATTTTGGTGATGTATATAAATATTAAAATAAAAAGAGACATTTAAATTAAATATGTCACATATTTGATCATTTGTTTTAAGATCATAGGGCAGTAAAGAATGCCCATCAACTATTTTTTTTATGCTATAGTGTGCCATGTGGCCTCAAGAGACAATAGAAAATAGGCCCACAGATTATATGAATAGAGCAAATAGACTATTACTGATTTCAAGACCAATACATATGCATCAAGATAATATGACATCATTATTTGTACATAACCTAATTACAGGAATAATAATGTGAGCCTTACAATTTGTATAAAAGGAGGATTATAGCACTATAGTACTTTAAAAGTAAATTGATTTCCACAATAAAATTCATGCACAAAATTTAAAATGTTTTCTATTAGTGTTACACTCTGATAGTGAAATACGTTTTAACAGCCTTTTTGACACTTTTGGCAATTTAGGGAAAGGCTGTGTATAAGCATTTCCACTTCTGACAAATATGGGCCTATTATATCACAGTTAGACACATAGCTCCAATAAATGTCTGAGTAACAGGTTACAACACTCTCCGGTCTCCCCTATTGTAAAAAGGGGAGGTGTAGGAGGCACTGATAAGCTTAGAAAAATAGAAAAGCGGAATACCACCCTGTTATACCACCCTTCCTTGTTATTTCACGTAGACATCAATTCCTTATGTGATTAGGTGGGTACTAATAAATGGACTACCCGACCACAGAATTTGGCAGAAAGCACAGCAGATTTCTGCAAATGGCCATTCACAAACTGAACTCACAAATTTTGGCTAATTTAAAAATGTTTTCTGTAACCAATTAGTGTAGCATTTCTGTATTCAAATCTAAAGTCATTATAAGGAATATCTTGACATGCTTTAAATAATTTAAACAACTTGCAACAACATAAAACAAGTAATCCATTTGCTTTAAGGGAATTATGAATCAGCTTTTACACAAACAGTGTCATTAATATGTCATCATAATCATTCTAGATTCAGGGTTCAGGTGTTTAAATCCATATGGAAATGTAATATACTGTCCTATATCAAGAGTGGCATTGCCATGTAGGCTATGTTACCTATAAGACCATTTATAATTTTCACATATGTACATTCTCTTGGTAGATAAAGATATATGTTGATGACATATTTAAAATTCAATAGTAACATTTGTATACGTTCTTATGGTAATAGTATCTATATGATAATTTTTATATGGCATTATATGTAACCATAGGCTACATGTCAACAGTATATAGGTTAAATTATTTGTGCAAATTTATTAAAACAACAAATATACAAAAAAAAATTGTATGCTTACATATGTTTTTGTAATACGTTTTTTAAATGTCTATCTTTTATATTTATAAAATATCAACATGACGGGTTTGGGGATGGATATAAGTGTACATGGCATATATATCCACATATGTACACATACTTGTATGGGCTAGATATAGGCTAAGCCTATATGTTAATATATGAAACTGTTGATTCTATGGAACTAATAAAACAAAACGTGCAAGTAAATAATGTAAACCACAGACCTTATTTTACTCATAAACTAAAAACCGCCATTCTGAAAACCCATAGGAAATTCCAGAGGCGCGAAAATCTTCATTTCCTTCCGGGCTTTAGAACAAACGGCTCTATTGGGTGCTTTTCCCCTTTTATTTGTTTATATTTTCCAGTTTGCATTGGTATAAAGCAGTGGATCTATGAGGTTAACTCTAAACCAATGAAATTCCGTCTTGACATTCCCAGCCCCTCAAACGCACCACGTTCCCATAAGGAGGCGGAGTAAAGGCTAATTCATGATCTTAAAACGGGAGAACACCGTTTTTTGGAAGTCGTGCTGTAAGTCATGCGCGATATTTCGGCGACAGTGAAATAACCGCTAGTGACAAACAGCGTCTGAGGATCATCAGCATTTAACATCTATACAGCCTACGGTAGTACAAGCCTATAGGGGGGTCCTATAAAAGCAAGAACATATGCTAATTTATTCCTGTTGTTGATTCCAACGTTATTTTTCAAACAGTAGGTGTGTTTGAGTATAAATGGCTGGCAGAGGTACAAACGGTCGTCATGGGTCGCGGGGCCACGCAGGGAGAACCGCAGCTCTTGCCCGGCTGCTTCATAAGGAATGCATCCAACTCCTGGAGTTATACGTAAGTCTCAAAATAGAGCTTATTTATACAGAACTAATCTAATTATTATATTTAACTGTTGAGCCTTTCGTAATTATGGCTTGGTGTGGGACGCAAACGTAAGTCATCGGCATCATGACATTTAGTTTAAGGAATGTCTGGGGTCAGCAAATGAATTGTGTTAGAAGTGACAGCGTTGTCTGTGTGGCTGTGGGGTATCCAGACTTCGGGGGTGTGGGGTATCCAGACAGCCGATGAAAAGTGCTTCTGGGTTATAAAGCGTGATTGTTCCAGTAATAAATTCATTTTTGGTTACCTGCCAAATTGTTCAGGTCCACCACCTTTTCTGTTGTTTTCCCTGCGCGGAAAAGAAGCCTGAAACTTGGGAGCGGTTGAGAATGTAGGGGAGTCTTTGAACTTTAGAAATAGGTGAGCAACATTTGATTCCTATTCAGCCCAAGTACAGCAGGAGCTGAAGGACCGACCTGGCTTCAGAGGTTGCTAAATTATTAATTAGTGACTTAATATGCCAACAACATGCTTCTATGAGCATCAAACCTTTCAGGCTAAGGTTTAGAGAGGTTTTGGCTAAAGGTGAGAGAAAATTATACAAGGCTAAAATGTTTGTAATGTGTTTTTCATTCAAAAAGTTTAGAATCCTTAGAAATTCATATCCTTTCAAAGGGATATGCAACATTTTGGGAGTTGTAAATAGATAAAAAAACATGCTTAAACTATACATTGTGATCATTATTTCTCTCTCTCTCTCTCTCTCTTTTTCTCCCTCTCTCTCTCTCTCTCTCTCTCTCTGTGTGTGTGTGTTAAATTTTAGATTGTTTGTTGCTTAGTCAAAGCCTAACCAAGTCATCTGAATGGCAAAAATTTCCTAGTTTACCCAAATTCGCCTTATAAATAGAACATCCGCTGCTCAGTACTGTGCAATAATGTTTTTCTATATTGTCCCTGTTAAATAAACAATAATTAAATAAATAAAATGTTTAGGTGACCTTTGGAAATTGTGTGCTGGCTATCCAAGATTATATAAGCTTGTTTGGCTCTATCTTTTATTATTTTTTAAATTGCTGCTTTTATTCACTGTCATTATGTTCACCACATGTTTGTTTATCAATTTCGTCATCTGGTATTTTCTGCTCATTACATTCAACGTTTCTTGTAACTTCTACTCATTCCCTTTGTCTCACCGTTTAGAGAAACAGTGAATCACTGCCGTCCTCGCCAGTTGACGGAGGTTATTTAGTGTCCATTCCTCCACTGGTTCCTCAGCTGTCAGATGCAGAAAAAATATCTATCCTGCACGCTGCGCTCAAGGAGTGTCTGCGACTTCTGGAAGATGTCATTACCCGGGAGGATGCAGACGTTTCCGATGAAGACAGCGAGTACAAGAGAAAACGGAAAACTGTGAGGGATCGTCTGGGGCACCTGTTGGCAAGCACAGAGCAGCTACTAGTGGATGGCCAGAAATTTGAAGCTAAAGTTAAAGAGGTGCTCATGTTATGTTTAGCCAGCTATTTAAATATAATGTTGCTCTGTTTTCTCATAAATGTGAAGCTGTTGTAAAGCATAAATAATCTGTCTGTGCTTGTGTGAAAGGAGCTGGATGGTCAAGCGGTTAGTGGGAGCTTCAGTCTGAAGATGTGGATTGTGCGAGTGCTGCAGGACCTCGTGCACTGGACTGGCCAAACATCTGACACCCTCCGCTCTCTGCCAGCAGAGATGGAGAAAGCACCAAAGACAATGTCCCGAAGGACAAGAAGAGGTGCCGAGAAAATAAGGAAGTGAGACTGGATATGTGATGAAAAAAGAGAACGAATGGGTGGAGAGGAAGAGGACAGTATGATAAGAAATGAGGAGAAGGAATTTCATTACAGCATGGAGAATGTAGAGAGTCAGAAAATCTGGATGCAGTCACTGGAATTCAGCATTCCAGCAT